AACTAGTTATAGTTTAAATTAACATTTCACATAGTCCAGATTTCATATTAAACTTATACTATAAAATATTAACCATTTACAACTGTATTGAAGAGACATTTAGTATTTTCATTATGATTTATCCATCTAATCCGGTACGTCGTATATCCTAACTAATATTAACTACATGGCTAACATAATAACGTATTTCCAAAACCATGATATGATTTTTATCGTGTTAACAGAAAAACTATTTTTACAATATTACTAAATAGTAAATAGGTACTAATGCTGAGAAAAGTTATAATTTTTACTTTTTATCATACTTTTTCCTTACTCTAACAATACGTAAATTAAGGACTAATTATAAGAATATTTACTTTAAGAAGAATAGTATACATTTCATTAATAAGTTCATACCATTATAACTTTAAAATTATTAAAGTGACAGATCGTAATAATATATATATTGTTTATTGACAAAACAATCCGATTGTTTTAGACATTTCTAAGTGGTGATTTAAATATCTTAACCCGAAGCTATTTTGAATATGTAAAAAAAATATGGTATTGTCATTTAAAAAAAATAAGTTGTATTGCGAATGCGTGTACCAACAGGGTTAAATGTTTGAAATTCGTCTGAAATTGTGTATTTTGGTACTCCCATTTCATTTCCTGAAAACTCCATTTAAATAAAAGATCATCCAACTGAAATATTTAGTGATACCTCTTAACGTGAATATACTGTATATTATATAACGTAAATTATAACACAATATAATGCTGCCATTAGGAAATGAATTAAGATGCGTTACGATTTTGGTGGAACTAAAATATTATTCAACATCGTGTGGTATGTCACTAAGGTGGTGGTAATATATAATTAGGGCCGTCCTGATGATTTGTGGGACTCGGAGCAGAGTAAAATCGCGGGGCCTTAAATGTCGAAAATGTCACTATCGCGCGTCAGTTACATATTGGAACTCAAATGTGCGCAAATATTCTTAACAAATATAGTACCTTACACTTACAACAATATGAATAAGTAAATAAATAAATTATATAATAAAAAATTTTACATGAAAAAAAAATGATATACCTATCAATTTTTTTTGCTCATCAATTTAACTTTTTTTACTGTATTTATGATCTATGAAAGCAAGGCTTGTCCAACTGTGGTGAGAGCGTGGGGCCCGGGGCGAGGGCCTCACTCGCCTTGCCCTAGGGACAGCACTGTATTAATGTTCAAGGGGGAGGAGGTGTAAATAAAACCAACCTTCTCCACCCCATAGCGTTTATATATATATATATATATAAGCATATAATATAAAATATACATACAAATTATAGGTATAAATGTGTAATAATGTTTATATATTAATGACATCAACGCATTAATACAGAAATGTATTAAAAAAAATATATATATGAATGTAATGACTTCTAAAATATGTATTATAATAATTATATAAAATTTGCAGCTAGGTGTTCTTGGTCCAGCAATATACTAAATTTCAAAAAAACCAAATCTCAAGGGGGGAGGGAGGGGATTTCACCTATCACCAGGTCAACGTTCATCAGTAATTGGTAACATTATCCTACTACTATTGTACGATAAACCAATTATAATGTATAATACCTATATTCTTCGACAAGTATTTATTTACTGGCTAAAGTAGTATAAACTTAACATGGTTTTCAATAGTTTAACCTTTAAATGTAAAACATTAATTATAATATATGTATATATATATATTAGTATAAATTTGAAATTATAATTGTTAACCGTCTCCAACTTTCAAAACTACGAGTAGTTGTTTAAATGATAGAGTACATCACAGAAAAGGTTTTTTAATTTCAACTCTTTAAGTTATTGGAATAAGTAAGCATAGGTATAATATCTACCAAAAAGTATTAATTCATAAAAATACTACCTATCAATACCGATATTATCAATGTCGTTAGTTAGGTATTTTTAGCTTAAAGTGAAAATTAAAATATGTTCTATGAGTGTATGTACTAACTAAAATCATTAAGTGACTCGAGCGAAACCGGATGAGTCAGATAGTCATAAATTATGACTTATAATATAAGCTCTGTTAATATGTTTAATATTAATAAACCCATATGAAAGCTAATTATATTTTTCTTATAAGACTTCTAACGATTTTAGTTATTTATAAAACCACATTGATACGTGTTTTGTACATGAGAATAAAACGTTAAATAACTGTTGTTTAATATATTAATGAATCACAGTGGTGCCGAATACGTAATGCAAAAACGTTTAATTGCACCGTCTAGAGTTAAGGATAGGTACTGGGTATCTGGAAAGTTATTAAATTAAACGGTTTACTTAATACATAATATACCAAATAAATCATTTCGAGCAATTTAATTAACTTTAAATTAGTTGTAAAGTACTAAAATATGTGTTCCTTGAATGTTCTGCGAGAGTGGATGAAGTGGTTAAGAAATAATAATGCAATTTGCGCAATGTAATAAAAACGAATCTGGTACCATTGATTAATTGTATTCTATTTAATAGTCGTGAACGTCGAGATTTTTTTTTAAATTTAATGTCTGTGAAGTCGCGACTGACAACGGATTCGGAAAAAGCCGTTAACAATGCTCCAGTGCGGCGGAAGTGACGGTTGACGTTTCGTTTTTTTTCTTTTTTGGATCTTTAGCCCTCAACGCTATTTTTATGTATTATACATTTATGTAACTTATTTATTCACACTCCATAATCAAGATAATTCTCGGTACCATCATCTGGTTAAAAATAACTTTTGTATTTAAATGCAGTTAAAAAAAAAAACTTTGACTAAGTAGGTTTTCAATTAAAAAAAAATAATAAAATGTTCACACAATACAATTATTTGTTCGGACCGACCATCGTACTTCTTATCTAAGCACTTAATGTGTCAGATTAGACATTACACTGGAGCATCACATTTAAACGTGAGAATTACCCTAAAGGGGTCGGCAACCTTTTGAAGCAAGCGGGCCATATTTTTTTTTTCAAATGTTTATCAAGGGCCACATTAAAAAAAAATTTTTCTACATATGATATATACTAATAATTGTGTTGCTATTATATTTGATTATTTTACAAAGAAATATGAGTGTAAAAAATACGAATTTTACTGGAAAAAATTTAATTTTTTTGACAAATTAAACATAATTGCTTACCTTTGTTTTCAACGATAAAGTATAAATCAACCAAAGAATTATTAAAAAAACGATGTTCATCACAAATTTTTCTTTTTTTAGTCGCCATAATGTTTGGATTTACTTGTAAAATGAAACTATGACAAACGCAAAGTCACACGTACGGGCGTAATCACGGTGTAATACTAATTGCTACAAATGCAAAGTAACTATGACCATAGATTAAAAATATTAGATATATATGTATTAAATATATAGATTAAATATATTTAAAATTTTAATTTTTAAATATATATATATAAGTATATTTAATTTATCCTATGACTGAGTAGTGTAGCCATCATTATCTTCGACTCCGATTAGATAATAATAACAATTTTATTGATTAAACTGACTATATAACTATATAAAATAAACATCAACTATTAACGATTAGATTAGATTTTATTTATAAAGAAAAAAGAATTGAATAGTATTGAAAATTGTATGAAAAATTTTATTGAACAAAAATAAAATAAAAAAATTAACCACCTTTGTGCAGGCCATAAAAAATTGCTTCGCGGAACACATGCGGTCCGTGGGCCGCGGATTGCCGACCCCTGCCTTAAAGTAAACTCATTCACATTTTATAACCAGTGCCCACAGAGTTCAAGTATGATAGTGAATTTCCTGTCTCGTCAACCTTGAGAAGGTAAATTCAAATATATATATATATTTTAAACAAACTATCATAAATTGCTTACTATTGCTTATTGGTTAAAAGTATAGCATGTGCCTGTCGATATTACATTTCCCTCTCAATATTCAGATGTTTAAAAAACAAAATACATTGAACATCAAAAGAATATGTTTAAATTATTTAGAATAAAACACATTTTTTTGCTCATTCTTATAAATAATTCCTACTGATATTTTCAATCAATTTAAAAAAATAGTATGCCCATGAATAAGGTCAATCAATTTATAAAAATTGACCTTATTCATGGGCGTACAAAACTTCGATGGTATATTGTTTTTCTTTAAGGTATAGGTATTCATATGTATAGTTTTTACAGCATTAAAGTGGCATGGCGTGCATATACGCAGTAGATTATAATATAACGTATATTTTAAATGAACATTTCAAAATTAATTCAAATGAACATTTCAAAATGAATTTATGCTTGATTAAGTATATTCAATGTAAAATCATATTCTATCATATTATTGCTTAATACATTTATTGATAGCAATGTCTTAAATTCCAAGAGAAATGGCGATGTATTTATTTGTTGTCTGTGAACACTATTTCGACCAGGATTACTCTGTCACAAAAGATCATAACTATCATGTGAGGTTTCTGATACGAAATATTGTCAAGTAACGTAAAAAAGGTCATTTTACTGTCTGTTTTTTATTAGTTATGAAAAACTAACGTATAAAAACAAAAATCTAACAGCAAAATCGACAAAATATGGAACTTCAATATGATTTAATTTCTGTTTTCATCGTAACTCAAAAGTTAATATTTATAAACTTAAGTGTTAATAAAATTCAACGAAAATTAGCGACATATTTGTAGTTAAAAGTTCATGCTACTTCAAAATTTAATATCTAGGGCTTTAATATACAAGATTATAGAACTTAGATACTATTTGATAAATTTAAAAAATTAAAAATTCAACTTACCTTATTAATAAATTTAGTTCTATTAATACATATATTCCCCCTATTTAGAAATATAAACTGATCTACTAGATCTCTGTCACTCATATTTTTTTTCGTGAGCAATAATACATTGATTGACGTATGACTGAAGGTTCTTATTGTGGTCAACGTTTGAGGAAATAGAAAAAAAAAATACTTAATGAATATTAATACATTATTATGTTTTATTGCAAAATATAAATATTTCAGAACATGGTTTCGTGGTAATGTAATGCAATGTATGCATGCTGTTTGATGAATGATAACAACTTTTTGAAAAGTCTGGTTCATAGACTTATATGGCTATGTAAGTCTTTATTATACATTTAAAGGACTTAATAATCTTCAATCAAGGGTGTATTACGAACAAATAAATAATAACACATAAATAATATTGGAATACAATTTTATTTCATGACTTACTACTGCAATTATTTAATTTAGATAAAAAAAAAAAAAAAAAAAATGTTTAAACCATACTTATTCTAAAACATTCCATAACTGTTACTTGATACCAAAGAATATATTGTGAGCTACTGCCAGAGAAGACTAAAATAAAAAACAATAATTATTATTAGTAAATATACAAACATCATCATAAACAAAAATTATCATTATCAAAAAAACATCATTATAAACAAAAATATTTATAACACTGAAGAATTTATAGGAATTTTTTTTATGTTGAGAGCTAATTATTATAAATGTCCAAGCCTGTATTAATTTATGATACATAAATAATATTCATAGTGCAAAGAATAAAAATTTAAAATTCAAAACATATTGTATATACTTCACTATACATACATACATAGATATACTCGTACATAACTCTAACAGTTTTTAACTTGTCGATATTTTTTTAATTGTCAGTTATTTAAAATGTCAGATTTTATTTATATTAGTAGTATATACCATATAATATATATATATATATATATTAATAAAAATAAACTATTAATAACAAGCATTTTTAATAATTTAAAAACAAATACATTTTCTCTAGAAATTACTAGAACATATTTTGAATAAATCAAACCCAATAATTTAAATGTTTACGAATTCTTAAAATTCTAACAACTAATACTTACTATAAATAAATGCAAATACGTACCTTAAAAGTCCGAATGTTGGACCACCAACTTCTGGCCCTTTTTTAAAACCTATGAAATAACAAAACTACTTTTAAAAAAATCATCTAAACATAGAATTATAATATTTTAATAGGTTTATCTAAAATAATAGTTTTTGAAATTCAATCTTCGCGGCTTAAAATTATAACTGAAATTTATTATTATATATTTTCTATTCAGTATCTCAAAACAAATAACATAGTCTAGTCTAGTCAGTTTGGTTCTTCTACTAGTGTTAACGTGTTTCGATCGTTAGTCTTCGTCATCAGCTGTTATAAGCCGGGTATTGAGTACTAGCCAAATAAAAATATAGGTATTACGTCGGGTACGAGTAAGGATCGAGTACTCGGCCAACAAGTAATTGCCGGATATCCGGAACATCTATAATAAATATATAAATTTGAATACACGAAGATGTTGTCTTTTTTTGGAGACAGCATTAACAGATCTCCAAATTGAAAACTCACCAACTTCAAAGTCCTCACAACAAGGAGACAATAATTGAAAATTAATTCCCTACACATTAAAAATGTTAAGAAAGAAAATAATAATAATTCAAACCCGATCTATCTTAATTTAAATTATTGACAAACCGCCGCAATTAAATATATTTAATGTTAGTTTCGAAAACAGAAATGACTCTAGAAATTTAATTTCGACACGGACGTCAGTCTAAAGTCCGGCTTACACTTATCAAAGTAGTCACGTCTGTGAATTATAAATCAGTGTAACTTTGATTCGATTACTGATGACAGTGTCTACATTACATTTCTGTTCAAGTCTTTTTTTATCAGTAACCGAAGTGAAACTAGAATTGGGAGTGGGAGTCGTAGTTACAGCTAAAGTGTGCAAATTTGAGTGTGCAAGTTTGATTCATATTATATTTGTTAATTCTTATGTGGTTTATTGTAATTTTTTGAGAACATTTCTGTGATAGAATATAGAAGAGTTGTAGTGCAAGGTTTACTAACAGGAAAAAAAATCACCAGCTCAAGTCCGAAAAAATATAAAGAGAAGGAAATTGCTTATTCTATGTCAATAGATATTTGTATTGGAAATCGAGTTATCCATTGGCCAACATTTGAAACACAATGTAGAAGATGTGAAGATGTAGCAATAAAAGTATTGAATCAAGACCACATTCAAAATGCTCATATAGTAAAGTTTATCTATGTATAAATTAAAATAAAACTACTTTTCTGAGTATCATGAAATATAAAGAGCCATTTGAAATATCTAAAAAAAAAAAACTTTCTGTAAGTTGTAACTATTTGTATTTTTTCAAAATTAAAATTAAAAAACACTAAATAAAATGTGTTTTTTTTTTTGTATAGTTTATAATAATAAAAAAAATAAACTTAAATGCCTGACGGGACTTATAAGTCCAGACCATAAAGGACTGACGGGACTTTTGAGTCTTAGAATCAAATAAGGTTCAAGGTTCAAAAATAATAGATTTTTTTTCCCATACCCTATCTTAGATATAGGGAAAAATCAAAGTAGACAAAAAAAATTTAATATTTTAAACATTTTTCAGCTTTCGTCCTGAATTATAATTAATCAAATTATTTCTAATCGTAAGAACAAAAGAAAAATATAGGTGCGAGATTGAGTTGTCAAGTGGAATATTTTAAAATATTATAAAATACATTGTTAACGGAGCTCAGAATGGAAGATCGATCAGGTTTCATGAACTATATGAGAATGAGTGATGATCGTTTTAATATTTTACTAACAAAATTGAAAACTCATATTCAAAAACTGAATATATTTCCGAAAAACAATACCAGCTAACACAAAGCTAGAAATTACATTGTTTCCACAAAACTTCACGAGTTTTATACAAATTTGAATAAATGTCATTGTTTTGTCCCAGCACCTGTTTTTTTCCTACCATTATAATAGTATTTACAAACATGAAAAATGAATAAAATATTTAATAGTTTTTTTTAAAAAAATAATGTTTTAACCATTTAACAAATAATAATTAATAATTGTATTAAATAAAAAAATACTACGATATTATAGAGAAACTTACACAATAAATTACCATAGCAAGTCAACATAAAAATGTTCTCGCCATATACGAGAATTCTGATACATGTCTGTGTTGACACAGATCGGAAAAAAATTTTATACGAGCTAGTCGCAAAATCCGTGGTTCTCGGACGTGGTTACTTTTAAGTGTAAACCGATTTTAATGGTCATGAATATCGTGGTAACAGATAATGTCTCAGTTGACGATACACAATCTTCTTCTAAAGACAATAATTCCATTACGGATTTCAATATACTCTTTTTCGGATTCATATTCGGGCCAGCTATACATTACAATAGAAGCTTAATTTAATAGTCATCTTTTCTCAATATTCTAGGCTAGCGTTTCTCATCTGGGGATACGCGAAAAGTTACGAGAGTGTACTCGAGAAAAAAATGGTAATGGCAGAAAATATAAAAATTTATGTATTTTAATTAATAAATTAATAATGAAATATTTGATAACGAGCATTGTGTTTAAGGAGAGGACTTTTTTCATCATACACGTTTATTAAAAATAAGTAACGTAATAGAATTATTATGAAATTAGACTTATAAGTTTACTTTTCATCTGTGGAACCAGATTCCTAAAATTAAGTGTTACTAATTTATAATTATATACTTAATGCCACACATCTATACAGGAGCTATGTAAGCTTGAATAGCATAACTTTCCAGTGTTCTATGATTTTAGGTATAAATCACTATTTAAATGTATCCCTATTCAAACGGGGTTTCAATCACTAAAGATAATTTGTGATGTCATAATCAAATACACCACATTATGTACTGGTCATAGTCTACTATCATACCATTATTTTAAGTTGGGACTTAATAATAGCTCATATTGCCTCCTACCCAACTATGGTAGAGATTACTGTGACTTCTGTCAACTGCTCCAAAATTGTCCATATTTCTCTCTAAAGTAATCGGTGAAGATTTTTTTTCCCATTCTTGGTATCAACTTTTTCTTTATTAAATCTATTTCAGCTAAAGGTGTAAATATAATTATGCATACATTAAACTTCATACTTCAATGTAGCCTTCAAATCAAGTAGAGTAAGCTTTACAATTATTTATTAATATATGTCTATTGTTAATGATAAGCAAATAAAAATTGTAGATATAATAATATCCTTGTTAAAATCACATTATATATATATATATATATATATAATGGATAATGAATAACATGTAATATACAATGTATATACCTAAAAGACTACTGTATTAGATATACAAATATTACATTATTGGTTTTCTTTTATCAAGTTCTTTCAAGTGTTTATTTAAAAACAACAGCATACAAGATAGACAGTATAATTTAATAAAATAACAAAAGAAATTAAGATTTTACATCATTTTACAACCATTTCAATGGTATTGAAAATATTTTTTAAAAAGAGAAATATAAAATATTTTATTCTATTATACAGTGTTATTGTACCTACCAGTGGCGTAACTAGGATTTTCTGAAGGGAGGTGTTAATTATAATTATTAAATATTATATATAATACGTACAAACTAAAACTTTTATTTTAATTAATTAATATGTACACATAATGTCTGTAATAGAGATGTAATGTATATTCGAATTCGGATAGCTTTACCATAAATTATTCGAATATTTGACTATTCGAATATCAGTATACGATGCTACAATACCTATTATTATTAAACGTTTTGTGTTGCACGAAAATGTAAACGAATAATTTTCGTCACGTATTGTCGCAATCGCGATAATGTTAACCTGTATATATGTAATTAGTATTGTGCATTATTTTATATTTCATATTGTATTATCGATTTACCTATATTCCTATAATAATGTAATATATGATACGGCTCAAGGGGGGTGTCATATCTACCAAACACCCCCCTTGTATACGCCACTGGCACCTACCCAAACACTAAACTAATCTTACCCTATCAAATTGCAAATTGGTAAACGTTTGTTTAATTGAATTAGTTATAATATTTACTTGAAGATAGATTAAGAAATGAGAATAAATTAAAACCATTAAACTAAATAATTCAATATAATAACAAGAATATCCAAGTCTAAAATTAAAATGTATAACTCAATTGTAATACTTCATTAAACGAATATTGACGTACCCATATATATGACGAATGGAATGAAGGCGATGTGATACGAGGTTTTAATCATCTGTGTAACTGACTCCAACCGAGATTTGATCCCTGGTTTTAATAATCCCATTATGATTGTAATTAAATATCTCCTAAGTAAATATCAAAAATAAATTATTAGTTAATACTAGCAATAGTTTTACATACTAACCAATTAGCTTGTATGGACGGATAGTCGACAATATCCAAAAACTTATAAAACAAACAATAAACAGCTTTTTGTTGAATTATTAAATATATTGGACCGTAGATACAAATATAAAAAGAAACGTGCTTATTATATGATAATAATGTCCGATAAGTGGATTATATTTTTTTTTCTAAGACAAGTTTCATGATAAAATGATAATTATATAATTACTGATAACGGATCGAAAGAAAACAAAAAATAATGCTGATAACAGTTAGGATTGCAGATATTTAAACGTTTATTTTTTATTTTTTTATTACATACCTATTACATCCTTACGAAATACAATTATTTGTTAATCCCATAATAATAAAAATGTCAGACGATGATATGGAAAAATTTGAAATCACCGACTATGACTTGGACAATGAATTCAATATGAATAGACCTCAAAGACGGTTGACCAAAAATCAAGCAATTTATGGTAATTCATTAATAAAACAATAATTAATATATTAGAAATAAATAGCAAAGTTCTTTGTATCAATTTTGTAATACTTTATAATTATCTAGTATTTATATGTTTGATTTCGATCTACTGACAGTTGTACAAAACCTAAAAACTTAAAATGAATAAATTTATAAAAAAATAAAATATTTAATTATACCTTATATACTTTATGATACTCATATCATACTATCATACTATATCATATTAATGCCACTGCTAATACCATGCATTTTAATTGTACGTCAATCATTATCCTTTTGTATTTGTGGTTTTGAAATTGTATGATTTTCTGTCTATTTGTTATGAATGTATTAATTGTCTTAGGGCTGTATTTAAATATTTTCGTAATAAATTAAAATACATATTAATATTTGTATAAACGATCTAACCCTGATTTAATGAAAGTATTTTAAGCTTCTAGATTTTGTAAATTTAATTATTATTGCTAATAATATTGTAAAATTGTAATTTAATATTGTTTTACAATTGCTAAATATCAAACAAAAAAAATATATTCATTTTTAATTAATTTTTTAATATTTAGGAATTTGGGCTGATGAAGAAGGTGATAGTGATGATGAACCTTCAGGTTTTGGAGGACGCAGAAAAAAAGATAAAAAATATAAGCAAAACTACACGGCTCCTGTTTCGTTTGTAGCTGGTGGTGTTCAACAATCTGGTAAAGACAAAAAAGAAAAAGAAAAAGAAGAAACTAGGGATGATGAAGTAGAAAATGTGGGAAATAATATATCTTCATCAAGGTTTGGATGAAAACTTTTCATAATATTTTTATTTATTTTTTAATGAAATTAATTAAATTTATATTTATATAGTGAAGAAGAAGAAAAACCAGCATTTAGTTTTGATATTGATCAAGAATTGGCAGGATTACGAAAAAAACGGTCTCAAGTAAATCCTAGAATTATGAACAAAGGATTAGGAGATTGGGAAAAACATACTAAAGGAATTGGTGCAAAACTTTTGCTTGGAGTAATTAAAAAATATTGTATTTCATATTTATGTATTATTCTTAATAATAAAAAATAATTGGTTATTTGGTATTCTACAGATGGGTTATCAACCTGGTCATGGATTAGGAAAAAAACTTCAAGGTATTACAGCTCCAATTGAAGCTAATTTAAGAAAAGGAAGAGGAGCAATCGGTAATATAAAAAATGTATTTTTATTGTAGTATCAGGATATAATAATATCATAAACTTGGTTTTTAGGTGCATATGGTCCTGAATCTAAAAGTAAACCGATGAAAGTAGATAATGAACGAACAACAGATAAAAAAGATAATAAAGTCCCAGCAAATGGATGGCGAAAAGCTCTGAAAACAGAAAAAACGCAATATATTTATAAGACAGCCGAAGAAGTAATTGAAGAGAGTAAACACCCAGGACAAAGAAAAAGAGAATTCAAGTATAAATACTTTATTTACCATGCGCATTTTTTTTATACATATGTTATAATTTATTTAAATGTTATTATTGAACTTAAGTATAATATTTTTAATATTTTTTAGTGAATTAAGCAGAGTTAAAGTGATTGATATGACTGGTCCAGAACAACGAGTATTATCTGGGTATCATGCTATTTCTGGTGTTAAAAAACCTATGGATCAATGGGAAGTACAAAAGGATAAAAAATTTTCAAATTTTGATTTACCAGAATTATTACATAATCTCAATATTTTAGTTGAAGCAGCCGAACAAGTACATAAAAACATTTTGCTCATATTTTTTATAAAATATGATGAATTCTTATATATTAATCCTTGGTTATATTACAGAACATTGTCACAAACAATCAAGAACTTTGTAATTCTGAAGATCGATTAATAATCATTGATCAGGAAACAATTAAATTAGGAGAAACTATTAAAGATAAAGATAAATCCATTGAATCACTTGAAAAAGTAATAGTTATTATGGAATCTTTAAATGATGCATTAAAAAGAAAAAGATTAAATAGTGATGAAGCCATAAAACGTTTAACAGATATTAAAGTATATTTTAAAAATATATCTTATAATTAATACTTGGAAATAAACACATTGTATAAATGTTTAGGAAAATTATTATCCAGATTATCGACTTAATGGGGGGTTAGTTTTTGCACTGGCAATTTCACAAATTATGATGAAAGAAAAGCTGTCTACTTGGGACCCACTACAAGATCCAACAATGCCCTTTGAAGAACTAAAAAAATGGAAAGAACTATTAACATTAAATGAGCCATGTGCTGAATTCCAAACTTTAATCTGGCAAGAGTGGTTACCTCAAGTTCAAAAAGCATGCGGGTAAATTTTTTTTAATTATATCATAATAAAAATAAAGCTTTATTTATACTATAAGAAAAATAAAGAAATACAATTTTTATAACTGGTAATCCATAGATAATTGCTGGATTTTTTCTATTATTTTAAGGTTATATTTCTAAAGTATCTCATGATGAATATTGTCATAAATCATGTTGGTTCATATATTTATAAACTTTACTTACATCTTTTAAAATAAAAAAATCTTTTGTCGAATGAATTTCTCATGTTGAAGATGTATTCAGTTAATGACAAATTATTAATCTGCAATAATTATTGTTTGAAAAATTGTTTACAAACAAATTTATATATTTTATTATTTACTTAAAACTGTTTTTTATTTAGGCGATGGAATTGTCGAGATTGTAATAGTATGATAAAATTAGTTGAACAATCGGTAGAATTAATCCCTAATGACATTATTACTAATGTTATTGAAAACATGATCTTACCAAAAATACAATTAGAAGTTGAGCAATGGGATCCATTGACCGATCTTGTGCCGATTCATTTATGGATTCACCCGTGGTTACCCTATTTAAGTGAGTTAAAGTTATTTCTTAAATAATAGCTAACCTAATTGGTTAAAAGCTATAAACATCAACTGTGGTTTTTAAATATTGGTATTGAGATAATTATTTCCACAGGCAAACATTTTGAAACAATCGTCTATCCTACTCTGAGACAAAAATTAAGTGCAGCATTAAATGCCTGGCATCCATCTGATAACTCAGCTAAACTGATGCTCCAACCTTGGGTAAATGTTTTCCAGCAAGGCTATATGGAAGCTTTTTTAATTAAAAATATTGTTCCTAAATTACAAATTGCTTTACAATCTTTTGTAATCAATCCACATCACCAACAATTAGGTACAATTATTATTATTATTTTTTAAATTTATAATCCAAAATCTTTTAATAAATTGGTTTATATGTATTCAGACAATTGGAATTGGGTGAGTGCGTGGTCAGATTTGTTGCCAGTACCCACACTAGTAGATTTGCTGGACCAACATTTCTTCCCCAAATGGCTGAAAACACTTACCATGTGGATAAATATGAACCCAAATCATGAACAAATAAGTAACTGGTATACAGGTTGGAAGTCTTTAATGCCTGCTGTTATTGTAGAACATCCAACAATTAAAGGACGATTTCATTCAGCTTTGGATATTATGAGCCGAGCAGTCGGAGGACCTTCTATGCCATTACCACCACCACCGCCTTCAATTCAAGTAAATAATCTCTATAAATTATGTCTATGTTACATATGTTACAATATAGACAGACAACTAATTTAGTTACCATTATTATACTTAAGATAATATTTATTTAATATTATTAAATTTTAGGGTGGTTTAGCTGAAGCTGTGCGTACTGCATCACAGATGCCTCATGGTTTCAAAGAGTTAGTGCAAAAACGCTGTGAAGAACGAGGTATTTTATGGATGCCAATTGCAAGTCGTTTTAGAGAAGCTAAACAAGTCTATCGATGTGGAGCAAGGCTTCAAGCATATATTGACCGTGGAGTTTTATTTGTCAGTCAAGATGGTACAAATTTTACTCCTATGTCTGTTCAGTCCATGTTAGAACTGTGTGAATAAAATTGTTTTAGTATTTATTTTTTTTTTTTTTATAATATAAAATTTGAGAATTTATATGAACATTTTAATTTCAAATACAAAATGATTTCAATACAGACGGTTAGATTAAATAATTTATTTTAGTAATGATGTTCCTACTAAATTTTTTACAAGAAATTATTTCTGATTGTTACAATCATTTTGGTATTATCTCATTATTATAAATAAAATATTTATAGAAAAAAATGAATCTGGAAATGTTATGTTTGAAAGATATCTCACTATTTATATTGTTTTGCTTAACAAAATGTACAAAGTAAAAAAAAAAAAAATGAATTAAATAAAAGTTTTCACTTCTGTAAGTTTTTTTGATGAGTTGGTTTTCGCAATTATTTTTTATTTTAAAACAATAATAAAATAACAAAGACAGAAAATAATTCTCAAAATAAGCAAAATTTAGATTAAATACCTTTATATTTATTAAATTTTTCAAAAAATAAGAAATATAACTATATAAAACTAAACTGGTATTTTACTGTTTTGGTCTTGTATATACAAATGGAATAAATAAAATATTATTTACACTTTCTTCTTTATATTAAAATAACTACAAATTAACTAAAATAGACTTGTTTGAAATATCATCTAAATTCTATTAAATTAATAATTTATAAATATTACATTAAATTTATATATTTTACAAACATATACACAATCATCTACCTACATGTAAATTTTAAATACATTTTCTACATTTATATTCCATGCTGTCAAATGATAAATTCAAAAAGCTTATCCATTATTGCTCGGAAATTTGAAATCAACATTTACAAACATTCTTTTGAATGTGTATATAATAAGAGTGGTTTTTATTTAGTATTTAAATAAAAACTACACCTGTGAGTTTTGCACAAATAAATTATAACACATTTTCAAAATTACTAATAAAATGTATAGTTTAATAAATTAATAAAATATTAAATACAGTCTTAAGTTTTATAATGAATTATGTAGTTCCGACATTATCAACATTTGAATCATTCCATCAATTGCCTTTGTTAAAACTTCATCAAGCATATTGTTTTTAATAGATTCTGTAACACTACAAGGTAAATTAATTCACAGGTTAATACTACTAATCGACTAAATTTTTATTTATTTCTAATAATAATAATAAAAATAGGGCATAATTATTTAGGTGACCCAAAATGAAAGTTTGAGAGGAACATATATATATTTTGTGAAATTTTCAAGTTATTAACAATTCATTTTGTACACATAATATAACTTTTTTTTTTAAATGGAAAAATCCAATTTTAGTACTATATTTAGTTTGACAGATTTGTTTTATAATCATTCTTTTAAGCTATAATTAAATCTAAAACTTTATTAGTCAATACAATGTTAAATATTATAAATTTAAAAATAAACTAAACTAATGCAAATTCTGGAGAAAATTACATGATAGTCTCAATATTTATAAAGATAACATTTTGAAAAAGAAATTGAATTAATATTTCTTTTTTGAAATAAAGTTTAAGAGATTTAACTAAATTATAGTACAAAATGATTAAAAAAAAAAAAAAATCAGACAGTCTGACTGGTGCCAAAAATAAGTCTAGTCATTTAAAAGTAATACAATATGTTGTAATTTAATACATTACTCTTTAACCCTTATATAAATATCAGTACAAAGCCATCTAGTCCAAATGCTTTGAATTACTCACTGACATATAGCAAATTAATGAATTCAAATAAATGAACATAATCATCTAAATTATTAAAATTAAAAATGTTATTGTACTTACTTAAAAATTATATCCATTTCAGTTTTAGACCGTTTTGATTCTTTAAACTGTTTGGCATATAAATCAAAAATATAAGCTTCTTCGGGTCTTATGCTTAAAAGAATACGTCCTTCTCGTGAGATGTTTAAATCTTTTTCATAAAATAATATTGTTAAAAATTTTATACACATACATTTAATACAACATTTTATACAAGTATATACAGATTGTCAGACAAATAGCTTTTTATGAGTTAACTTAAATTAGTTATACCCAACTTGTTCTAAGTAGTATATATATACCATTCCTGGCATAGCTATGATTATTTTATCTTACATTTTTTATTTATTTAAAAATGCAAAATGTTTTATTAATTTTATTATTTAAAACTATTATAAGTACTAGAGAAAACTATCAAAAATTAGTTTTAAGTTAAATTTATCATAACTGTACCAGGAATGGTTCATATATACCAATCACCTATGTTTAACAAGAAAATTATGGTTTACATCAAATTTTTAAATAAAACTATATATTTAACCTATTACAAAGAAAATATAATTTTAAAAATAAACCAATACGCCGGCTCATATTCCAATATACTTTTCAATTCACATAAAGCAGTTTAATAAATTTAGTATAATATTTAGAAAATATATTTTATAAAGTCTACATTGGTCATATTTAATACTTTATGTTGTTTACTTTAAAAATGTGTACAAAGACAAATTTTTACCATGGTAATAAGAAGAAACAAAGTTGGATATTAGTGAAATAAAAGATGACATATCTTTTTCTTTCATAAAAGTTTTAGAATTTAAGCAATATGGCAATAAAAAATTGTGAATTGTTTTTAAATTCATAATAAACACAAATTAATTAATTAATTAATTAATTAAATTATACAGTTTATAAAATAATTATTTCTCATTCAGGCATACCTTTTAAAGGAAAATTTTTCCAAGGATTTTCTTTTGTTGTCTCAGTTTCTATGTTAGCAATATCAAAAAGGCTTCTATTATCTTTAATAATATAAAACCCAACATTATCAGGTGTCTCTAATTTTGTTGTACTGAAAAATTAATTTAAAATGCAATTACAATAATATAACTATATAAGTATAGATGCATAAGATATTTAATAATAAAAACAAATTTAAACTAAAAGTTTGTTTGAGAGAATATGATACATTTTTGTGTTAGTTAGAAAATTATTTTTAGTAGTATGAAAACTAAATAACCATACAATACAATTATTCATAAAAATGTATATTATATATAAAAATATATTCTATCATTCTTTTAAAATTCAAAATATAATCATTACAATATTTTAAAGCATTTTAAATCATTATAATTGAATTGGATATTTACTGAAAGTTTTCCAAATATAATGGTTGAATATTTTTTTTATTGGTATAAATTTGGCTTACATTTGCTACATCTTTAAAACCTGATTCAGTGTCTGTTTTCTAAAAAAAAATTAGCTAATGAAATATTTTGATAGAAATGTTTACTAATGTTTTACATTACATTTAAAATTATAGTTTGATCTTCAAAGGAAGAATACTCTTCAATAGCAGTTTTGATGTTTTCATTTGAAAATCTATTTTCTGTTTCTTTACAGAGTAATTCATCATACATTTTCTAAAATAAATTAAGTTTAAAAATACATACTTGATTTTTAATAAAAATATTAAAAAATAAATAAATAAATAAATAACCAGCTTTTCAAAAAGATATTCTTTGAGTGGAGTCAGTGTTTTCTGATGGGGATAATTTTTAGATTTTTTCATTAAATAAATCCATCAAAATTGTTATTAAAGAACATTTTTTTGTAAAGCTGACATCTATTGGATATATAACACATCAGTTTTTAAATATATACTATTTGTTAAAAATTAGTATGTATACAAATTATTATTAAAATATCTTGTTTTTTCTAATTGTAAATTACATTGTTTTTAGATAATTGTTGTTTTTTCGAACATTCTCGAGCATATTTTGATCCAATCACTGGTTTAGTATTTTTATACATACTCAAACGATTAGAGTTAGCTCCAAACAATTGGGTTCTAGGTTTATTTATAACTTTCTCAGAAAATGAATGTAATACACTATTACCATTAAAATTAATATGATTATCATTTTCCATATCTTCAAAACCATATTCATCCAACATATTCAACAAAACTTTGCAATGTTGAACTAAATCCTAATACATAAAAAGTTTGTTTTAGGTTAATTTTAAATATATAATAAAATCAATAATGTAACATACAAAACTTTCTTCTTTTTTCTTCTTATATAATTCTCCAAATAAATATTTTCTAGTAGTTAATGATAATGATGATATTATTTGTATTAAATTTTTCATTTTACATTGAATAGCATTATAAACACCAGCTTTTAATGTTTTAGAGCACAACTAAAAGAGTATGAAACATAAGATTTTATCTTTTTAAAACAATATAAACATAATACATACCTTTATAGCATCAATTGCTAATTTATAGCATTGAATTAATTTTGATTGAAATGTTGTTTTTAATAAAGAATTAGTTTTATTTTGTTTCTGGTAGACATTTTTATTTTTTGATTCTTCTTTAATTTCAGAAAACTGGAACATATTTAACAGTTAAATTAAATGTACACAATAACTCATTATGCTATAAGTATAAATATTTTATACATATTTTTTAATTTAAATTAGTAATTGCATTTATAATTTTTTTCTACTATAACTTCTGTTAACTTTGTTTTAAGTTTAAATTTTACTCTAGTATCTATAGCCTGCTATCATACAATCGCATATTGGATCCAAATCTAAGTCTGTTCCAATTGATGCCCATATTATTATAATGCATTTCAAATTTATCTATTATAATTCATTTTATTTTATCTCATTAACATTTTATTTTTAATTTATTTAATAGTAAATATTTTAGTCTTATATGGTAACACAAAATTATTTATTTATCCTTGGTGAGCATCTCTTATATTCATAATAATTAATATTATTGTTATTTAATAAATTTAAATCATAACAAATATTTTTATTTATTTACCAGTAAATTGAGATCAGTAATATAATCCATTTCTGCTTGCTGATCACATTTAATCTGCACCTTTTTAGTAATCTTTGTAACAGGTGGTAATAGTTCATTTTTTACAATAGTAGAGAATTCGTTAAATGTTATGAATAACCGGCTATAGTTAAAATAAAGTTAATGATAGAATATTCATTTAAAGGTATTTGAATAATTAAGATTGTTATAATACCTTCTAAGCCCATGTAAATGATTACGATCGTTTGGGTTGTATAAGGATAATACATTTACTGAATCAAGTGAATTTAACTGTTTTTTTGTATGTTTAACAAATAAGTCTTTTCTATGTTTAATTTCTGTAGCATTTTTAATAAGACTAAGATCTGTAGGGTCAGTCTCTTTAACTGATTCCATATAATTATTCCATTCTTGGTTATCTTTTTGTTTTTGTCGACCACGAATAACTTTTTTGTAAGTTCTATCAAAATCATCTTTTGGAACATGCTGAAATTTCAATTAATATTAAATAAATAATATTTAGAAGTTTATAAAATATAAAATTATTAAATCTCGAATGTAATTCTAAAAACCCTATTTGAATATGTACCTATACAAAGATATGTTTTGAACGTTTCTAATAGGTAAGTACTACCTATATTTAAAAAAAAAAAAAAACAATTAATTTAAATAATTATTAGAAACTATGGGTGGCGTACTCATATATGTTTTTTGTAAAATTTAATTGATTTGTATGTAAACATTAAATAAATAAATTAGTGCAAATAATATGTAGATGCAATACGATATTGCAATGTACAATACATTATGTACCTACCAACAGTAATTTAAAACGAAACGTAATGAAATAACAATAGAATATTGAAATAGTTTGTCGATACGCACTTTAAACTGGAAATCTTCCTCATCCATATTATGACTGACGGGTGCGTGCAAGAGCGACGGACAAACGGAACTAAAGGCGATGGCACCGTCCAATCTTTATTCTATGGTCGTGTGGTCGCGTTGTGTTGATGATCGGCCCTCGGAGACATGGACTGCGGTGGATCCTTTTGAAAATATTAAAATAAATTACCAGACTCCTCGAGTGCCATATATTTTACAACGTTCTATTCGATAACGTCTGAAATAATAAACGTATAATTCTTATCTATTACACCACCGCAGTGTTCGTTAACATTTGGCGCGAAACGTTAGTTGCTATAGATAGTCACAGATTAATATAAGATAAGATAGTTCTTCCGGAACGTGATAATAAGAAATAAATAAACAAATATTTATGGTAAGCTTACAGTAATGTCTACGCTTCGTTCGGTAAATTCTGCAGAATAGTTTTTCTTTCCCTCGCCCCCTCCGCAGTACGTAGTTAATTCAATACTATGGATGTCGAAATCGCGGAAAACTATCCATCGGATTGCGAAGAGGAAATCGTTGAAGAAGAGCTCATCCACGTCGTCATGGACGATCCGGAGGAAATGTCCACCTTGAACCCAAACAGTAATGTCCGAATGGTTGCCATCGACTCTGATTCACCCGCCTTGCAGATTGAAAACAAAGTATGTAGGTTCATTTGTTTGACAAACTTTGATGACTATTATTTCGAATTCCGATTAATGTCCATGTACGTGCGTGAATAATTAATTTCAATTGCACTTATTGCAAAAGTACAGAGAACAATACAATCACAAAATTCATTTGAAAAAAAAATGATATTCATTATGTGGGTCAATAATCACTCTCGTATCTTGTTTCAGTTTTATGTATTATATTATCAATGTAATTCTACGATTAAAAAAAAATATATTTCCAATTAGACACAAATTAGAGCCTGGGACTGTAAAAATATTTAATATTTTCCTTCTTCTTCTATAGTTAAAAAAGCCTTTCAAGACCACCCCATCTCATTCCCATTACTCTTTATTCATTGTTCTTTCTTTCAAATTCATTCCTTCACCTAGCGATTTAGTTAATATTTTCAGTTACTTTAGTCTAACTATTGGTCAAAATATGAGTATGGTATTATTATTTATTAGTTAATTAAAATACAAAGACTTCCTCTCTTATCTTATTTAATTTATATGCGTTTTTAATAATTTAATGTTTTTAGATTTTTCGTTTTAATGAGTGGCGGTACATACCAGGAACAGCAATGTTTTTTCAACAAAAGAAAGAAGGAAAATTAATTGACCCACTGTATGACAATAGATGTGGGGTTGATTTACAATATATTGGATCTACTCACAAGTGTTTAGAAATGACCAAAAAGGATATTATGTAATTATTGTTAATAGATAAACTTATTTTATATAAAAATATAGTTAATTTCTGGAAAAAATTAATTATCTTCTCCAATTATTTTAGGTAATAAGTTTTAATATAATATTATTTTTATGCATTCAACAATCAAATTTATATTTTAAATATTCATAAAATAATTCATCAAATCCACTAACGTTTAACTACAAGTGAAAATGTCTAAGGTTTAATGACGATTGACGACTGATGTACCAATTAACTATAAATATAAATAGATATGGAATATTGTCGATAGTAAAGGCCACGTCACCACGAGCAATATTTTATCGTACGATTTATTTATATATTATATATATAATATATAAATAAATCGTAAGATAAAATATCGTTTATGTGAAACGATCTCAACAGTTAACACAGTATAAATATAAAATGTATATTATATATTTATTTATATTAATACAACAATAATATACAAAAATTATATTATCAAATATAGAACCATTTTATAAATACCACGAACGAAGCACTATATCGCTGCCCGTATAGCCGTATGTCGATCGACGCCATTGATTTTTATAATATAGATACAGCGTATACAGAAAATATTTTCGGGAGGGGCTATTATGGTCAGAGCTAAATTGCCACTGCTATCTAAGAATTACTAACAACACACAGTAGGTACTTATCTACATTACATTTACACAATGTTCCAAAACGATTTAACTTTGGACGCAAATTCTAAATAAGCATAAGGCATCAATAAAAAATAACATACGTTTAAAATAATTTTTAAATATTTTAAAACATTTCATGGGGGTTATAGCCCACTACCCCCCTCTATATACGCCACTGATATACAGTATATTATAAAATCAAAGATCGACGCTTATCAAAGGTATTTCCTATATTTATTTTAATATTTGATGACGCATTAGCCTTTAGTCGTTTGTCTGTCAGTACATAATAAAAATTAAGATTAAAAATAAAATTAAAAAAAAAAATATATCTCAGAAATGTATTTATGCTTTGAAATTTTAAGAATATAAACATAGTTGATGTTTGTTATATCCGATATTTTTAATTTTATAATGATAATTCCGGTTCCCAATATTGTAAGGGTTCTTGGGTTCTAAAACCGGTTCTTTTGGGTTCCGTTCCAGCCCCTGCTAAATAGTAAATTGATTTTTCTAATGGAGTCAACATGTACAACAAAACAAATAAAAGTTTTAACTTATTTTAACTATTTTAAATTTTAGAAGTTAAGTTCCAATAACAATTTAAAAAAATGCTTACTTAAATTATTCTTTATTGTTAATTGGACCTGTAATTTTATCTTATTATATCATGTTTATTGGTGAAAGAGCAATTAAAACTAAGTACATAAAATTGATGATTACTGAGGTGTAGGAATTATCTACACATTGCATATCAATGTTCAAACGTCCGAGTAAAATATTAATTGGACTACATCAAGATAAAATTAACCAATTTATTTTAAATAAGTTATTATAAATAAAAGACAAAATACATGCAATAAGCAGTATCAGCTAAGAAAATTACTAGTTATATTTATAATTGTGATATTAAATTATATCAGTTTATTTTAAATAATTGTAACCATATATTCAGAGAAAAAAAATTGTATAAAATGAATACAAGAATTTATTTATTAGTTATATTATATAAAAATTTCACTAAACTAGCATTTGATAGAATAAAATATAATTTTTTGTGGATATTGATTAATGAACAATAATAAATTATTATTGGGTTTACAAGTCTTTTAAAACAATTTCTTGATCACTCTTTATTAAAGTGACATATTTTTGTAACTGCTGTACTTTTAGCTTACACCATATTAATGGATCAGATAATCCAATAATACGTGATGCAGCCAAAGCAGCTCCTTCCTCTTCTCGTACAGTTACACAGCCCAAACCTAATTAAAAGTATTAATTATTAATAAATAATGCTTAGATAAAAAAATATACTAGGTATTAAAATTATAATTTTTTTTTTTTTTTTACCAGAGGGAACATTTAATGAAGACCAAATGTCTTGATTAACGTTGGAAGATGTTAAAGGTGGACAATTTATTACTGGCAAATTAGTGTAGCCAGCGATAACCGGACCTAAACCATTACTACGACCAGCAACAGCAATTATGACAACAGGAATACTTAAACCTGAAATTCAAATAACCAACTAAAAATACAAGTTCATAACTTATTATACTAATATTACCTTCATAATAATCAATCATTCTCAAAACAAATTCAGTGCTTTTATGAGCTGATCCAATTCTAATTTCAGTATTAATACCCATAACATTTTTTGTGTAATGTGCAATTTTTTTTCCAAAACTTTCATCACTACCTGATCCCATAACGATTACAACCTTAATGAATAATTTTATTTTAAAAAATTAATTTTCACAATATGCTACATTATTTATTTATTAAAAAATTAATGCATACCAAACCTGTTGATGGTTGAACCAAATTTTGAACTTTTTCTGAAACCCATTTGAAATTTGTCTTAATTGTTTCCAAATCAGTAGGTGTGACAGTGCTTAAATTTCTATACACCTGCTTATCCAACATTAATCGTTTGTCTCCATTTGGCCATAACCTCCACGAATCATTGTCAATAACATCTGCTACTAATATTTTTCCTAAAATATAAAATGTATGTATGTTTAGTTAAAAAATATTAAATATATATTTTGAACATTGTTAAGTTTTTATAAATTATAATATACCTTCAGAACTAACACCAAATTCAATTTTCATATCAACTAAAGCAATATTTTGTGATGCCCATAACTTTTCCAACACTTCAAATACACAGATAGTTGTTTTCTTCATTATTTCATATTCAGCGTTTCCAATAAGAATATTTCCTATTTTAAACTCAACCGACAATAACTGCTGTTCAGACCATTGAGGATCATCATTTTTATCATCCTATTAAAAAATGTATTTAATTTTTTTTTCATCAATAAATACAGTATTTAAAAATCTTAAAATTTGTTATCAGTATATAATATAAATGTATTTGTCTACAATTGATATTAGTTTATACTTAGTAGAAAATAAGTATCTCTGTTCAAGTAAATTAAGCTTTATTCAAATTAGTTCATCTTTTATATATTCTTCAGAAAAATCATATTTAAACTAAGATGATTTTAATGAAATGCTTATACATTATTTATAAATACACATACCTTGTAAAAAATTTCAACTAATGGTGGAGTAAATCTATAACCTTCTTTCACTCCTGGATTACGTTTCAGGAATGATCCTGTAGCAATACGTCTTGATACCCATTCAATTGGAATCATACTACACTTTTTGCTTATGAAGGTATTGTTGGATGATCCATTTTTTGAAACAAACGCTGTGTTTATTCCTATGATAAAATGTTATGATTAGTATATATAGAGTTGTTGGAACGTTTAAAAAATATGTATACCTAAATCTTGTAAAATTTTAAATATTGCAGTTGTGGTTTCTGTAGACAGGGCTGCTTTGCCTTCTAAATCGTTGCTTCTGATGCCATTGTGGGCGGTTATTCGGTCCTTACTCACCATCAATACATTATCCGTCTCAGGTAAGTCGTATACGACTTTAGTTTTTCCTTCGATGATTACTTCGCCCAAGTTGAGACCTAAACAAACCACGTGGTCGAACGGTCGTACTTAAAAGTTTTTCGAAAGCATAGTTTAAACTAATAACAATTACCATTAGTTTGGGTTTTGGCCATATCGAAATCTTGTTTATAATTTTGATTTTGTGTACAGATATGTAAGTAAGCGCTACGGGGCTGAAGCACTACTGGTCGATCAGACGACGGTAAACGAACGAATGCCCTGCGGTTCGGTGTAGAACTATAGTGCCGGCTCCCGCCAATATTCACAGCTCGTGTCTGGGAACGGTTTTCGGTGATAATAATAATCTAACCTGGAAATATTGTGTTGTGTTTAAACTGGTTCGGCAGCTTACCGAATATACATACAAATACAAAAGAAAAAAAACGTATGATCGTACCTTGGAATTTGAGATGAAATTCCGTACGCGCAATAGTTCACAGAGCGGTGTGCACTGTGTACTGTTACTGCGTTCTCTAACAGACCTGACGACCGGTAGACCACTGTCGACGGCCAGACGACACAAGAAATTTAAGTCATCGACCACCGTGTGCGATAGTTTTGCGTCTTTGTTTTCCTAGAAGGTAACCCTACGTTTTACTGTTTAGTTAAGTTTCTAATGAAAACGCTGAGTGCCTATTGTCCAATATCGTGTTCACCAGTGCCTTTTAGTAATTTTAATTAATTAACGAGAATTGCTAATTCTATTATGATATTTACGAGATAAACGTTATTCGGACGTCAGTTTGTTTTTTCCTGATAAACTTCGATATCTCCAGTTCACGGTCTACAGCCTTTATTGATATATTCGTTTTGAATTTGTTTTAATTATGCCATTTTCTCTACTGGGGTCATCATTAGAACAAATATTCACACTACCTTAAAATATTTCTATTTGATTATTTATTTGGTAGGTATGTTTAAAAAAAAATAATTGAATAATGCGTGCTCACATTTTTTTTTTTTTTAATTTTCATTCAATTATTTTATTGTTTCACACCCATGTTCAATGTTCACATCAATTTATTCTTCACGTAAAAAATTCTTTTGCTTGGTAATTTATCATTTTATAAATTTTTTCCAATTTACGGTTTATTATAGCTTTTGTTATAAACTTGCAATACGACTATTTTAATACAAATATATATTAATATATAGGTATGTATATATTTTTAGTTATTGTATATATTTCTATAATTGTAGTAAAAGTAAAATTATTATATATATGTTTTATTTTTATGTAGGTTTAAGAATGTCTGTTGAAGAAGATGACAGGCAATTACGCCATGAATGTGGTGTATTTGGTTGTATAGCTTCTGATCCATGGCCAACTGATGTAGACGTAGCTCAAGTTATTTGTCTTGGATTATTGGCCTTACAACATCGGTAATATTATTATATTATATTACTAGCTATAGTTTTCATTAATTATTACTATAATCCATAGTTAAAAAATTTTAAATTAAACTTTAAAAATATTAAAAAAAAAAATTATAAATATTATTTAATCTGGAATAATTTATTTTCATTTCTTATGTTTTTTTTTTTTTTTTGTTATTTGCTTTTATCAGAAATATTATAGTAATACAATTATTATTAAAAAAAAAAAACATGGGTTACCTAATGATAGTAAAGAGAGAGAAAAAAAAGAATAATAAAATAAAGCAAAAACAAACAATTTTAAATTAGGAAGCCAGTGGAATTGATAAAATTAATTATGGAAGGAATAATTGTAGTAGAACGAGAGTTGAGAAGGAGATTTTAGTCGGCAGTGATCTATCCTAAGGAAAGCAGGAATAGAAAAAGGAGTTGTCTACTTGGTAGAAGGGATGAGCAATTGAAAATTAAGTGGTTGAAGTCACAAACTCCATGATGTCAAGTTGAGAAGAATTGAAGAAAAGCTTGAATGAATGGTGAGGTAGTAAGCTGTATCCAATAAGAAGGCAAATGAATGCCTGTCTTATGTTATTGATTATTATTTTTTCTTAACAATATTTTTGTGCATACCTTGTAAAATGGAACATCTTTCCAAATTATTTATTTTTATATATTTTAAATAATACTTAACATTGCTACAGAGGCCAAGAAAGTGCTGGTATTGCCATGAGTGAAGGTGATAATCATACCCACTTTAATGTTAAAAAAGGCATGGGTTTGGTCAGTAATATATTTAATGAAGAAGCAATAAAAAAACTTAAAGGTAATAAAAAAATACATTTATAATTAAGAAATGAATAAAAATTAATTATGTAATATATTGTGTAGGTAATCTTGGAATAGGGCATACAAGATATTCTACTAGTGCTGGTTCTGAAGAAGTTAATTGTCAACCATTTGTTGTACATTCAGCTCATGGTGCCTTAGCAGTTGCTCACAATGGTGAATTATTTAATGCAGGAAAATTAAGGCGTATGGTAAATACTACTTTATTGAGGTTTTTATGTTCATTAATTATATATAATTTGTAATTAGGTTTTAGCTAGAGGGGTTGGTCTTTCTACCCATTCAGATAGTGAGCTTATTACTCAAGCTCTTTGTTTAAATCCTCCTGATATTGAAATTGATGGTCCCGATTGGCCAGCTCGTATTAGACACTTTATGGAACTGACAAAGTTGTCTTATTCAATTGTAATAATGGAAAAAGATAGAATATTTGGGGTACGTGATCCATATGGTAATAGACCTCTCTGTATTGGAAAATTGATGTCTTTAACTGATTCAAATAAAGGTTATTGTATACATTTATATGAATAGATTATAATATTATTTTAGTGCTTGGAAGGAACATATTCAACATAACTTATTCTTAAATATAAGTGATTAAAATAGTTTTTAGAATCAAGAATAATTTTTATAACCTAAGCAATTTAGGTACTTAATTGATTTAACTATTAATAATTATAACTCAATGATTGATTTTGTATACTGTGCTGACCGGCAACCCAACATATGGGTAGTTCATTTTATTGTTAATATTTGTTAATTAAAATTGTTTATACAAAAGAGTTATATAATTAAATTTATATATAGTAATCCTGGCGATACTGATACGATACTGATGTTTACAAAATGACAAATTAATTGTAGCAGTTTTATCAGTGTGAAATTATTAGAGACTAAAATAAACCATTAAAATATAAATTAAATTAAAAATCATTTAAAAATTTTTGAAGCACCAAATATTTTCCTTATTTAAGAACAAAGAAAGGTTTTATTGTAAGTCTGAAATGAAAAAGGTTTTTTACAATGTGAAACTAGTTTATTTTTAAAAGTTCTTTCCGAGCACTGATTTATTTACAAAATAAAAAAAAAAAAAAAAAAAAATCTAAAAAATCTAAAATTGAATTCTAACAGAGGATGGCTGGGTTGTATCATCTGAATCATGCGGATTTCTCTCAATGGGTGCTAAATATGTGAGAGATGTCTATCCTGGTGAAATTGTAGAGTTTACAAAGGAAGGATTTCATACAGTATCCATAATGGGTCGACCATACAATCGTCCACAAGCATTTTGTATTTTTGAATATGTTTATTTTGCAAGACCTGATAGTATATATGAAGGTAAAAATTGGATTTCTTCATTAACTAGTACATTTATTTTGTATTCAATTTTCAATGCATTATTTTTACATATTGTGTTGAAAATACTTAACTAATTTTGAATTTAGTTTTTATATTCATATTGTTTTAAAGGACAAATGGTTTATTCAGTACGATTGAGGAGTGGAATTGTGTTGGCCAGAGAAAGTTTAGTTGAAGCTGATATTGTCAGCTCAGTCCCAGAATCTGGAACTGCTGCTGCTCATGGGTTTTCAATGAAAGTAAGAAATTAAATGTATAATGTATGATATGTTTATATCATTTGATTGAATTTTTCAGTCCAATATTCCGTTTGCGGAAGTATTATACAAAAATCGGTATGTTGGTCGAACATTCATTCAACCCAATGCACGGCTAAGAAGATTAGGTGTTGCTAAAAAGTTTGGTGCTATTGTTGAAAATGTAGCTGGCAAGAGAATAATTCTTATTGATGATTCAATTGTGAGAGGAACTACAATAGGACCTATCATAAAATTACTGAGAGATGCTGGAGCTAAAGAAGTACATATTCGTGTTGCATCTCCTCCTCTTAAATTCACTTGTAATATGGGTATTAATATACCAACTAAAGCTGAACTTATAGCTAACAAATTGACCATTGAACAATTGGCTAAACATATTGGTATCTATACTTAATTTAATTATAAACATTTGTTATTATGTTATAAAGATCATAATATTTATATGTAAATATTAATTTCAGGTGCAGATACTCTTGCTTATTTATCAGTTGATGGCCTTAAAGAAGCCGTAAAAGAAAAAATGCCAAATAAGAGTGCAATTGAAGTTGGACATTGTACAGCATGCCTTACCGGAGAATACCCCGAGGAATTAACTTTCTAAATGTTAAAGTATTATTATAATTAGTGTTGTTTAATTAGAACAATTCATTTTTATACTAATTTCATTGTAAAACATTTTATGATTGTTATATAGTGACAATATTTTGTTCAATTTATTTAAAACAAGTTAATGATTACTTGAATAATTATAGTTAATTATAGATCTAAATATTATTGTAAGTAGATAAGCATATATATTTATTTATATTTGATACCAAGAAATTAAATTAATAATTAAAACAGTACATTTTTTACGTCAATTTAGAGATTTATTTTCTATTATAATTAAAAATAAGACTTTTAAGTATATTAAATTTCACATTACAATATTTTTTTTTTTTTTATTAATAAATATAATTAATTAGTTGGTTATTTGTTTGAATTTTTCACTTTTAATTAACATTTTCATCTCCATTCATATATCTCTTATTTGAAGTCAACCACCACGTGATTGCCAATAACATTATACAGTGTGTAATTGCTAACTGAGAACACTTAATATCTGCTTAGAGTCTTTTATTATGAATTCTAATTTTTCTTTCGTTTTTATGATATAAAAATGTGTATTTTACTTTTTTTAAAAATTTATTTTATTACGCTTTGATTTTGATTAAAACCTAGAATAAGACACAATACTGCAATAGTACAGATAAAAATAAATGCAAAATTTGAATTTAGAAACGCACAAGTACGCTTTGAACTATAGTTTGCAGTGTATAGTTATATTATTAGCTATGGAGTTTTCTGCTTAGTAATTCAGTTAGGTTAAGAAACATGTACACAAAATGGACTTAGATGATCAATTACTACATTTTAATTGTGGTTTAAGACCAATGATTGTCATAGTTGATTAATTATTTTATTAGGTTAAAAAATACTCTTATAATAAACATATTTCAGTATTATATTACAATGTGAATGAAACTTTATTACACAATAGAAATATGAAACAAAAAATGTCAAGAAAAAGAAATTGTCAAAATTAATAATCCTATGAGTACCTAATTATATAGTTACATATGACTATTTTTTTAATTTTTAATCAAAGTATACCTTACCATTGATTTTATTGTGTATAATAATTGTTCCAAACGTCATTTAATAGCATAAATAGTAGATAATTTGTTTAATAAATGTAATAAAAATGCATGTATCATGTGTTGAAATGTATTATTTCTTGTAAAATTAAAAATACTCAAGTATAAAGTACTATTAAAGTTAACTGAAATAATGAATAATAATTAATAATTTCATATTATCAATAAATAGAGTCACATCTGCTTAAAGGAATAATCCCCCGCCCCTTATTACCTACTCTATTCAATTTGGGGTCAGCGTTATCAACATTCGTTTCTAGTCCTGTATTATTTTAGTTCATGCTGTAATCATAACTATACATACTTTATATTATGTATGATAATATTTAACAAGACTAAAAAATTAAAACTAACTATGCACTTACCTTTTTTTCTGAATAAACCGAAACTATCGAAGAACTACAAATACACGCATAAAAAAAAGGTTCATGGGAAGGAGGTATGACACACTCTTTCTATCCCACGAGCATGTTCTTGATCTAGTGGACGTCAAATGTACTTAATATTTTTTTCATACGGTAAAAATGTCAAACATTGATGTAAATGCATAATACAAATTATATATGAAATATTTTGACGATAATTTTCCAAAAAATGTCGATAACTTAGAGGTACGTACAATAAATTATAAATTACAGTAAATACTGACCACTACTGGCAGAGCTGTCGAGAGGGGGGAGGACATTGAGACTATTTTGCCCTAGGTTCCAAAATTTTGGTGGCCACAACATCCATTGCTTTTTTTTGTTAACTATAGTAGAGTAACCTAATTTTCAAGTTATACATTGTTATTAATATTTAAAAAATAATAATTATTTTTCAATTATTGAGTTTTACAATTTTTTTAAAAGAGTCACTAATAGTTTTTTTTATTTTTTTCATTCGCGTACCTAATAGCGTTTGCACAAAAAGTACTTATAAATAATTAAATGTATTATTATTATTATAATTAATGATAATCAGTAATTAACCTAAACGGTAGATATCTTAAAAAAAATTTCTGAACTAATTGTTGAAACCACTTGTATACATATACAATGTGTATATCCAAAATAGTGAAGAATAGAGATCAAAAAAATATGAGTAACTGTAGACCTTTATCGATGTTGACTAAAATATAATATAAATTTATTTTTATATAGACTTATAAAATATTAAAAGAAATACAAATGTTCTTGTAGTTATATTACAACAACATTAAATAATGAAATCAACATAACGAGTGTACAAACAGGAGTATTTTTTTCAATTTAAGGTGTTGATAAAGATTTCTATTCAATTGAACTACTCAAGCCTACAAATAGCAATCTAATGACGAGGTCATATCACTGTAAACATACACGTAAATCATCTGCCACAATTTAATAAAAATAAATAGGTTAGGTATTAAAATTATGTTCTATCTGCTATTAAGTCTATAGTATCTAGTATCGTACTAAAGATAGTAGAGACCGTACAACTTCCCTACTATTAACCCACTGATCATTTTTGGCGCTTTGTTGTACGTTTATTGACGTTTTTATTCGCTATTCGTCACAAGGGTAAACTTATTGCCCATTGACTATTATGCATTCATGCTGCTCGATACGACATTAATATATTTCAATATTTTATCTATGCATAATTAGTATGAATAAATCAGTGTTATGGAAGCTGACCCGAAAGGACCAACATGTGACAATCTCCCATGCTCCTATTATAAAATCATTATTTTAACACGATTTTTTATATTATATTTTATTCGACTGTCGCTGAGCGTTGGTTTTAACAAATAACCTTCGATATGACCTGTAGTCGGAAGGGTCGCTACTGAGAACAATACTAGAAAATGCCTCAGAAGGAAAGGCGATTGGGACGCTCAAGATTGAGATGGGAAGATAGGGTAAAAGAAGATGTGCGACAAATTAAGCCAGAAGAGGTATTATCGTTAGAAAGAGAAAGCTGGAAGAAAATATGCTGGACGGTATGGTCTTGAAGGCCAAAAACCACGCTGAAGAAGAAAAATAATAAAATATAAAACTATAGGTATTAATTAAATTTACGTTTTTTTATATAATAATGCATTTTTTTTCTCAAATAAATCATATTTATTTCGAGTGCTTGCAGATCCCTTCTCATATATTTTTTACATTTATAAGTATAATTATTTCAACTGAGTCGGTAATTTTAAGACTTAATGAATTCACTATTTTTACGAACCAAAATCAAATAAGTTTTATGTTAATTTAACGTAGGCCGTTTATAATTGTAAACAATAAAAAATACAGACTCTGAAAATATAATTGTTAACAGTGTGAGAAGTAGTACAAAAGAATGAACATTTCCGAGATTATTAAAATTTTTTTGGATATTTTAAGATGAAGAACTGGACGTATTTATATTATATAATACAAATATATAATAACAAATAGTAGTAATAATAGTTCCATAGCCGATGTACATCGTGTACCTATGGTTAAAACACGAATTTTTTTACGTCACAATTGTTCGTCCGCCTCGAATCCGACATTTTGCGTTCCATTTTCCGGAGTCTTGGTTGGTGGTTTGCTGAAACGGAAAAATAATTTTATCAATACGTGTTGTTCACGAGTCGCTGCATATATTAAGTTGGTTCGTTTCGATAAAAAAGTGTACAAACAAATATGTACAAATTGGCAAACGACTGAGCACATGGGCCGCGACACCGTTATCTCACGGAAACGCATCACTAGCAAAGGTGCTAACGATCATCCCCCACCGCCGCACAAATAACGTGTTGCTCATACGTACGTTTTGAGTCCGAAGCGTTCGCCATCATCGATCGTCACTGGCAATTGGGCGCCTCTCGTTTCCGGCAACAGGAGGCACAGAACAGCGCCGACCAGCGGAAACGTGCCGAAGACCATGGGTGGCAGGTACACGTGAAACACTCCCTGCAAAACCGTCGCCGCGTTAACGTTGATTGTAACCGTAATCCTTCACCCGTTACCATCGTACAGTGAAACCTCTAAGCGATGGATCACGGATCACGTCCGTGAGCACCAGGTGAGTGTGAAACGCCCTAGGGGGGGGGTCCATGACCGAGAACCTGGGCAATGCCTGACTTACGCTCGCCGCCTTGGAACGATGATATTGGCTACAGGTGAACATCGACCATTGCTTTACCCCCTTTACAGTTTTTGGTACTTTTTATCTTCGGAAAATGGAAATTTATCGATTCGCGATAATACATAACGTGAAAGCAAACTATTTGATTAAGTTATTTCGGTTTCGATCGAAACAATACTCGAGTCTTGAACGTAGGCATCAGTGCCTCTGACTTTCCCTCGCCCCCGGGCCTTTTTCACGACCCTGGCGCACTGCACTTACCCTTTAAACGAGGCCTGGTTAGACAACCTAACCCGGTTATTTGTGCATCGACAGGAGTCTCGCTGTACGTCAGTTGTATTTTTGCTTCCACAATTTGTGTTTAACGTTTGTACAGGCAGTGTAATGTATATGTATTTCATACGTACCAATGACGAAACGAAAGGAGCTATAATGGAACCGATCCTGGCGCACATGGAAGCCGACCCCACTCCGACATTGCGCACGACCGTCGGAAACAGTTCACCGCTGAACAAATAAATGGTCGGGAAAGCTATCGACGATCCGACGATGCCCAACGACGCCAGTATGAACTTGTAGCGTTCAACTTCTGAGTCTGTAATTTGTATTAAATATCACGCGTAGAAACACAATACGGTCGCGGTAAATTGTATTTGTAGGTATAACTTATAATATATGTTATATCGATATATTATATCGTGCTTATGTAATATCGTGGTGGTTCGGTCTGGAGGCACCATCAATAAATATTGGTGTTTTCTTCTCTTTTTCTCAATTTTTTTTTATCTGAGATCGACAGTTTTTTATATACCATGAAGGTATAAGTCGATTACCGACGGGACCTAATTATTGCCATGATAGAATAAAATAATTGAAAAAAAATCAGTTATTTATATTATGTTTTAAAAATACCGGGCTCTTTTTGTGCACGTGCATATTCTTCACACGTTAAGACATTAGTAAAATAATATGGATGCAACGTATACCACAAGTTAACGGATAATCGAAATTTACACTCACACTGCTTATAGGTAACATGTGACCTGCATTATTTTCTGTAATTCGCCAAGGTCGGTCAAATAAAAAGTTCAGAAACTGCGAATACCTGTTAAGTATGTAATAACTGAAGTATCTGTGAGTATGCATGCGTACGAATGTTATGCGTGAAATTAAAATTTGATCACGTGTAGAAAAAAGAAAAAAAAATACCGGCTACAGATTAAACTACATACGCACTTCCTGGTAAGAGCCGAGTTACTTAAGTGTTCGAAGGACATCACAACAATATTTTTATTTTTTTTTTTATTATTAACTGTGTGAAGCTTTAATATTGCGAACAACGTAGTAAAGAACATTTAAGTAAAACTCCGAAGTTAAAAATAAAATGATCACTTAACGAGATAATGATAATTAACAAATAGTCGTCTGACGTTGTAGAGCTGATGTGTGTGTATTGAGGGTTTAACCGCCAATGTTATACGTGTAAAAATTACTTGATTTAAGCAATGATTTCAAAAACTTACGATAGTAATTAAGAATTTTTATTTTTATATCTTAGGCATATTTACGTGTTAAAGAAAATTGTGTGGTTTTAAATTGAATACACCTTTAATAAATAATAATATAGTATAAAACTTCGCGAAGTTGAGTTTGAGTCGTTTTTCATCACCGCTGACATGGGAACAATCCCTAAGACTATAAATCATATCGAAATTGTAATCACATAAACACACACACATGCACACATAAATACATTTCAGATTATACGACAAAAAATTAAAAACTAAAAATAAATAAATACAATGCAAAAAAATTATGGAATACAAGCATACAAATGGGGGGGGGGGGTTAATTTTGGGATAAATCATTGATGAAGACTCACTCTGTGGCAGGAACGTGATCAGTAAGCACGCTACGGCTGTCACCAGGTTGGCGGACAGCAACGTGTTCCGGCGGCCGAACTTCTCCATCAGATATATGCACAGGAATGCGCCCGGCAGCTCGATCAGCCCGGAGGACGCGACGTTGACGAATATGTTGCCGCCGATCTCGCCCATGTACTGCGCCAGCCCGTAGAAGCACAGGCCGCACACCGTCCAGTTGAAGAATACGGCCAGCGTCTTCTTCCGCAGGTTCGGCGTCCGAAACAGGTCGAAAACGTTGCCCTTGCCCTCGTCCCCGGTGCCGTGGCCCGTGGCCGCGCACTGCAGCGACTTCTCGAACTCGCCGTCCAGCTTCCGGCCGTTGCGCTCCGCCCCCACGGCCAGTGTCCGGCGCGCCTGCTTCTCCTTGCCGACGGCCAGCAACCATCTTGGGCTCTCCGGAATTATCCTATGGGTGAGCAGTGCGTTTAGCGCGTGGTCACGTTTAACAGCAGCAGGAGGGCGGCGTGGTCGTGGCAGGGCGAATGCAGGAAAAATTTCGGTGCCCGGGGGGGGGGGGGAGGTTGAAAAAATGAAAAAGAAAATAAAACGTGCAAAACTTACATCGCCACGTGCCACGTACGAGCGAATTACGATTTAAAACGTTGTTGGTCTACTCTTTCACTTCCGGATATCGCGGGAAACTTCGAATAGAACGACTACAAATCGGTTCACAGTTGTCGAATTGGTTCCAGGGTTGTCTACAGGTGACATACGAATTGGTTCCCGCAAAGGGCGGCACCCGTTTCGCCCAGATACCCGTTTCGACCAAAGCCATTTTAGTCGTTTTCAAATTAAGTTGGAAATGGTTTTTAAATAATATAATACATATACTGTTATTAATTTTTATTATTATTATTATTTTAACTATTTTTAAAAAAAGTCATAGGAAAAGTTTTTATAAAATACATATTTAAATTTAATTATACATTATTACAGTTATAGTACAAAAAAATCATTAAACAATTTACAATTTACATGATATTATTTTTTACTAAATTTCACTAAAAGTCATAAAAAAATACATTTACAAAAATTATCATTTTTTAAAATTTCTACGCATGCTTTTTATAAACTCATACCTCATAATTTCGCCAGATCTATATAAAAGTATACGTTTTTAATTATATCCCTGTCTTTCCTTCATTTTTTATCTTAAGTTTTTTAGGAATTTCAACACTATTAATTTTGATATAAGTTTCTGTCTGGATTTCATTGCGTATAATATTTAACCAGCTTATTATTGACAGAGAATTTGAATAAAAATTATTATTGAAATACGAGTGAAATAATTCACACACATTTGTTGTGAGCTATTGTATACTCGCTGAATTTTATGCCCATAAAGTTGGACTAAAAACACTGTCCTCAGAAGTATAGTTTTATACTAAATAGTCGTAATACTTAACTAATTTTAACTTAATATTATTATGTATTATATTATTTAAAAAACTATTGCCAACTTAATTTGAAAACGACTAAAATGATTTTGGTCGAAACGGGTATCTGGGTGAAACGAAAAAGGTTTATTTTGGGCGAAACGGGCTGCATCCCCCGCAAGCTTTCACGATAATACAACTTTGTTAAATTAACTTTTCAAATTTTTATAAAATGATAAGTCGTAATAGGTAAATAGTATTAGCAAAAAATTAGTGTGGTATGAATTTACAACACACATTTTTAACGAACTGTAGGTTCGTAATTTGGCCCTCTTTAAATTTTTTAATATTTTAATCGATACACTTTTACTTTTCAGCAATTTTTTTTTTTAATTTAAGTGAGTTTCTTTGTTTTATATATGTTTCGCATCGCACCGCTTTTAATTGTCCAATCAGTAAAAAAATATTTGGGTGGACGGAATAAAATCTAGAATTCAGTTTTCCATGAAACAATTCGCAACAGTTTGTTGTTCGTTCTGAAGTGGCTGAAAAATACATATACGTATCTTGTAACAGTGAGTTTTATACCGATAAACTGATAAATAATTTTATTTGGGAACCATTTCGAACGGTTGTATAGTGGAAAGTATTTTTTTCGAGAACCAATTCCATGTTTACCTTCTAAACGATCACTCATCGCATTCGTATACTCCGAACCGTTTGTCTGTCAATGTTTTCGCTGTTATTTCCAGAGATGAGGGGGATGGGGCAAACACCCGAAACTCACCCTGCGTTCGCGTATGCCTACCGCACTAAACGTGTCGCGTGCGAAGCGTACAAAATACTAGACTTTTTTATAGGGTTCCGAAGCTGATTTTTAAAATCTATACCGTCGTGTTGATTGTTCATAAATCGTGTGTACAATTTATATCGTACAACCGAAGAAACAAAATAAATATCGTTGATTTTAATGTTCGTATTCTCTGTATAAAATATTTCAAGTCGTAAAAAATTGCGTGAAGCTATGTCGGGCGGTAATTTATATTAGTGCTAAGTAACACAATGGCCAATCCGAGACTACATAGCAATAACTATTATGCAATCCTAATTTCAGATTTGATCTGTTTTATCCAGATTTATTAGTCTACAGGTAATATATCGGTTCAAATGTTGGATCCAATTCTTGAATCCGATTTTTACAATCAATCTACGTACTTACTTGAATAATGTATTTTGATTTCAGACTATGAATTTCGGATTTCGAAATAAAAAATTTAGATTTAAATGTACACAATGTTGAGTATATTATTTTATTTATTAAGTTATGCATAGTAAGATCTTTTTTTAAAGTTTCAAATTATTATATTTCAAATCCAATATCCGGATTATGCGGTTCTGTTTTGTAAAGGTTTTACTAATTAATATTTTTTGATTTTTCGCACATGAAATCAGTTGACCATGTTATTTTTATAGAAAATACTTTTTTTTTTTCGCAAAGTATAGTTTAATTCTCATCAGATTTTGTACGTACGCGCATATGCTTACGCATTATGCTTATACTTAACGCACTTGCCGCGGGCGTTTTCCCAAACGGCTATCAGTGCTTTATCGTGCAAAAGTAGGTATATACCAATACTCACCACCAGTACGTGAAGAAGAACAATGACGGCAAAGTTATGGCCAACTGAAACTGTCTCCAGTTTCTGATGAAGTACGAGATTAAAGCCATACTCATATGACCCAAATTAAATGGGACGTGATGTAATGTGCTGACCACGGTTCGCCATTTTCCACCGACTACTTCCATCGCTACGTTATAAATAACATACCCATTCGAAAACAAAAATACAGTAACAATTAACGATGGTGGTTATTTCGAGTTATAAAAAAAATAAAAAAAATAAAAACGATAAAGTTTCTACGCTGTTCTTTGATATATGGTAATAGACGATTTTTATATTTTAAGCTAACTCGAATTAAAACGTAAACGTTGTATTAATCCTTTGTAAATGTTACGGGTGTATGTATTTTTTAACGCACTATTTTAAATATTTTTTATTGATTTGAATTTACAAATAGATTACAAACTAAATATAATCGCGTTAATCGTCCAAATGGATGTGAATTATCAGTTAATTAAAATAAAAAAACAAAAATAAAACCGATTTATATTCGCTCGAATTACCATTTCGGACGGATAATTCAATATAAACAAACACTTGACACCAATTGTACCTACGATTAATTGAAACACTCGGCGTATGAAATTTGACCTAGTAAATTGATTGACAAGACAATAATGTTGTGGAAAAATAGTTAAAGGCCACGCTAAGATCAGCAATAGCCGTAGCGATTTTATGATGTCATGGTATGAAAGACCTATTATTTCTAATATGCATATGATGTTTGAATGAATCTAATGGTCTCAAAATAATGATATTATATTATAAAGTAATAAGTATTAGAATTGTATGACACGCAAAGTAATTATTTATCTGACCAATAATAACAATCAAACAATTATACTATTTAAATATATGGTTATTATTTAATAATGTTGTATTATGCATTGTTAAAACCTTCAAACGATCCGTCGAAGAGTTATTATTAGCTTACCAAATATGTTGTTATTAGATATCTATTTATTTATCATTATCATATCCAACGAAAATTATTAAAAAATAGAACGCTTATTACACTAAACAGTGGGTTGGACGATTATTGTAGTTTCCCGAAATTTAAAAACAAACAATTGTAGGTACACGTGTAGTTCACTACCGAGTTGTTTGTTATTATTTTTCCATACAATCATGGTCAATTACCCAAACAAATATCTTTTTAGTTTTTTACAAGGTTGCTATTTGCACAATAAAAAAGTGGCACGGGAGACAAACACATAACAATCAATATTATGGATAAATATTACGAAATTTAAATTCCTGTAATAGATGTTAATATACCTCGAAGTTGAATTATAGTAAAAAATGGGGTTTTAAGTGTCCGGGCCACTTTGCACTACACGCAATATGTTTAAAAAATTTTATGAGCTTGTTGTAGCACTCACTTAAAACGAAACTACTAATCATTAGACCTCCAATGGCTAATGCGGTTGCAAACCTAAGTGGCAGGAACAGCTCGTACCAAGGAGCTAGTGATGTGCCAACTCCAGCAACAAGTAACAAGACAATAGCGAACATCATTGGTATTTTTCTACCGTATCTAAAAAAAAAAAAAAAATCGGTTAACGTATTCAAGTAATGTTATTTATTTTACATTAAAGTAGGAATATTTACAAGTATATAAACTTGCTGCTCATTTTATTACTATTTATTTTATTTTATCTTATTACTCAGGTATGTGTTAAAAAATGAGTAAAAAAATCTATCATATATTTTTCAACACAATTTGAGATAGTGTAAGATTCAAGAATTTTAATAAACTGTTTCCAAATTTATATAAATAGTTAATTAATAATTAATTTATGTCTCCTTTAATGTTCTTTTACAAATCATACATTATTATACGAGTAATACGTTCTTATAATTTACTAACTTAACGTACGATGTACTCCTCATTGCATATGAACAGTATGAACAGGTTTATATATTAAAATAAAGTATAAGTAACTGAAGCTTAATGAATCAAAACACCCGTTGCTTGTTCATAGTACTCATAATACTGTACAGATAAGAACATTCGAAACATAAAGATTAAAATATTCGTATTAATATTTTTTTCGAATAATAATTTACTAAAACTATTGATAATTTAAAATCAATTGTATTAGTATATTTTTTTTAAATTTGATCGTTTATTTGAGTTGTGTAATTTAACAAAGTTCGACTATTTTTAATTCTTACCGAATGTATAGTACATATATGATGATAAAGAATTTAATTTAGAATTGAATTTTATAGAGGGAAATTATGTTCTTATAAAATGTTGACAGTGATATTATTATTATTGATTTATTTAAAGAAGTTAGGCATTACTTATGCAAGTATTTTAAACATAATGTATTGGGTATTTGTGTTTGTATGGTGTAAAATTACAAATTTAATTTTAAATTCAATTATTATATCTATGAATTTTAGATTTTTATAATAATATCTTAATGAGCGCATTTCATTAGATTGGACGTAAAACGGTATGATTTACTAAGAGTGTTTAATGTGTATGTATACGTACTTGTCTGAGAACATACCGAAGAGTACGTTGCCAATGAGTACTCCCAACATGAACACTGACTGTGCAATGTTGGATAGTTGGAATCTGCCACATACCAAGTCCCACTGCGAATAGAACAAAAACCAAGTTGTATGAAAAATTAAATAACACCAGATTTCCGATGGAAAAAATGATCACATGACACATCCGCGTAGAAATAAGTATCTGACATAATAATAATACTGAAATACGGGATAATATAAATAATTTTCCTCAATTTTTTTAGATTTATTTTGTGTTTAATTGTTACTAAAATAAATAAATATACACATTTTTAATTTACAATGTTTAATTATATATTGAATAATATTCAATTATACATTATATGTAAGTTGGATACTTTTTTCTCATAAATTCTAATTATTTAATAATAATTTTTTTTCGTTTTTTCTGTTTTATATTATTAATAGAACTATTTTTTTAAGAAATAAGTTTATCACGTCATTTTATCAATCTATCTATACGCTGTGCAATTATAACGAAAAACTTTGCTGATTTCGAATGATTATGGAGATGTTCAGAATATTTTGTCTCTTTCATTCATAAAAAGCATAATTATTTTTCCTGGACTATTTTACTAGATTGAGTCTTATTGTAGTCGTAAATATTTTGAGGAAGAATATCTACAAAAACTTTTTGAAAGTTTTTATGATATTCATCGGTTATGCAATGTACCGCAAAAAATATTTTAAAATTTGCTGACTGCTAGAATTGAATCACGTGCATAATATATATTTATTATAGATTTATTATAGATTACCTATACCATATACTAGTTTTAAGATAAAACTTCACCCGTAAAAACGTACTTCAATATCTGCGTCGTAACCACATGGCCGTTAGTATAGATAGGATAATCGAACTTAAAAATGTACTAATTTTTAACATATGTTAATTTTGCTGGAGTAATGATTTGAATAAAAATAAAAGAAAAACGCGTTCGATAACACAACTGATTGCAAACGAATATTGATGAGAACCGCATTTTAAGAAGTCGTACTTTTACATTTGTTGACATGGGCGTATTTTAGGGGGATAGAGAGGCGATTTGCCCCCTTTGAATCCGTGTTTATGGAATTGGTTATATGTGAGATACAGATTTCAAATTTTTTGAATGTGGATCCTTTTATAACGAAATCAAATTACGCGTGGCTGTGAATATTGAATTGGACTTTTTGTCGGGTCTATACTTAGTGAAAAATCAAATAAAACACAAGCGTAACTTTCAAAACACATACAGGTGTTAAAAAAGAACTATACAAATGTCGATTCTAAGTGGATTCAGCATTAGATTAAAAAAAAAAAAACATAAATATTAAGGATTTACCCGATATAAATATTATCTAAATATTATAATTTTACTGGTAAATTTTGAACCTGAATTAAAGAAAAAATTTGAGATGCCCCCCTGGATGCAAGTCTAAATACGCCTCTGTTTGTTGAAACGCACATTGCAATCCGAGCCCCCGTGCCCCCGTGCCCCTTATCAGCCCCAGAGAAGGGAACGCACAAACCTCAGTGATGATGGTCTCTTGGAACACGGACCGGTCGTAGGCGAACCTCCGACACGGCACGACGTCCATCGTGATCGGATCGCGGGACGTGCACCGAGTGTCCGTGACGTTAGGCAGAGCAGTAGCGTCGTCGATGTCGCACTGGAATGGCGTCCTGGCCGCTAGGAATATGATCGCCAGCTGGTGCCAGGCGATCGGGAACTTCAGCATGGACAGGGCCAGGGTAATCCAGAACTGCCACCAGCCGAAGTCGCCAAGGGCCTTGTGCACCGGGTCATCGGCTTCCATCTCCGCGGACGTCCTATTGTCGTCGGCACGGCGTTCCTTGTCCGAACGTTCTTGTTTCGTGTCGTCCGGCACTGTTGAAAGAGTAAACAAACATATTGGGGAAAAAAAGAATAAAAACCTTAACAACTCTATTCGGATTGACGAACAGACTGTTTTCGTATTTTATTTAATACGCCGTTCTGTACAGCTCGCTCCTTGCATCTATAATTACTTTTAAGGCAGACGTACTTCTGTCCGACTCTGATGAATTTGATATCGTTTTATAAACGAATCACTTCTCTGCGCCATACAGCGAAACGAAAATCAATATACTATAGTACAACAAATTGCGCACACATTTCATTAAATAATTGTGTTTACTGAATAACTCAGAGCTGTGCGATTTCGAACGTTATATGCCGGCCAATCATTTGCATGACTGATGGTGGTGGATCCGTCTAGCCTTTATCAAATGAAAACACACCGGTCCACTTCGTTCACCCTCTTACAAATCTATACATCCATCTTTATCTTATTACAACCTCTCGTTACTTTATATAATAGTATCCAGACTACGGAAAAAGTCTGTAAAATAACATAAACTAACAGTTGAAAAATTCATCAATAGCGTCATTTTTGCGTTTCTGCTCAACATTACCAAAAAAAAAAAAAAAAAATAAAAAACCGATCACCTGGGGTTTCCGTAAGAGTTCAACATACTTGGTGGCAAAAATAATTTTTCTATTAATCGCCTATTTACTATTTTTAAGTAAAAGCACATATACCTGATGCTTACCTCAAAATTATCACTTTTCTGAAAAATAAAACAGCCAAAAACCGCAAAACCATATAAAAATATAGTATTACATAATCTACACTTTACTAACCATATCGATATCATCAGTGCAGCACTATGGATGAAATACGGTTCATTGTTGAACAAGTCACTGTCGAGTCCTTCACCATCGAACAAAAACGAAACGCTATTATTTCATCGATCTCACTTAAACTGGCTATAATAGCGATGTTCTTACTATCACGCCAACATTACAAACAAAATATAACTCGATAAGAACCTCGTTTAAACGCCGCAACCCAACGTAATTTCATAACTGTCAAGTTTATACGAACACACAATAGCTTACTGTTCCCACAACTTACGTTGTGTTAAATTTGCAGACAAAAACCATTCAACATTTATGTGTAATAACCTAATACACACTCTTGCGACATGTACACTCCGTCATGGAACCAACCAGAATAACTCTATTGGATACCAAACGTACCAGACATTTAAGCTAAAGAAATCAACATCTCAAGCATCCATAAGTATCCATTAAAATTAACATTTCAGCATCCCATCAAATTGAGACAATCAAAATAAGTCTGTAAATTATTGTCACTTAAGCCAGCCCTAATGATAATATTATAATAATGAAACTATTATTTTTAAATTTATAATATAATTTAAATATTCTATTACTCCGTTCCAGTTTATCTTTTAACGCCCTTCTCACAAGTATAAAGAAATTTAACAACTAATTCTATCTTCATACTTATAAAATAGAAGTGTACACCTCTTCTATCACAAAAATCTCACTCATAAAATATCACTCATAAACGTTAAAATTAGAACCCGAGTTACTGCATATTTCCACGTTCTCAAAGAAAAAAACTTATTTTATGTACTAAAAGATAAATGTTCAATAAATAAACCGATTTTAACTTTACTCGGATGTCTAGTTATGCTATCTAGTCTAATTATTATAAAAGCTACTGTTGTAAAAATACTTCCTATAAATAAAAATATTATTATTATTACTTTTAATTTTTCAACAATACAATATTATTATTTTTAATTTTAAATTACTCGATTGAATTTAAATAATTTTTATGTGAATACACAGTTTTAATAATGAAAAATAATATATTTATTTAATTTAATTTAAACTTTCATTCGCTTTCGGTTATTGTAATCTCTATTCTCCGGCTATTTGGATATAATTTTAAAATTTTTTCACTGTAAAATATTTTATAAGTGCCTATACGTTTTATGGTATATATACTTTGATAAACAACTAATACTTTTATCTTAACACTCTCAATGTAATAAATAAAATGGTTTTTATATTATATTGATATATTCTACATTATGTTCTAAACTATATAGAATAATGTATGTACTGTAATATTTATAATAATGTATTATTCCATATAATATTTAATATCTAAGTCTAGTGTCTAAACGCAAAAACTAATATTGCTAACAATTAATTATATTTTATTTTGACACCACGAGACACGAAAATAGACGTCGTAGTCTTAATATCGTTTACAATAAACATTTTATTAGATTCTAATTCATGATAAAATATGTGGGAATTATTAATAATACTTTACTTTAAACAGTTAGATCAATGCTGTAAAGTTGCATGCTAAACGTACTCACAGAGTAAATTATTCATAATAAATAATAAATTATTATAATAAATTGTCGTATTCATCACAACGAGAATAAATACATTTTATTTTATATTTCACAATCAATAATAATTAATTGTTATCATTATTATTTTTTAATCATATACTCTTGGTATATTTCAAAATAAAGCTATTGAGCACTGAAACTAAATGACCATCAATATCGTGCGAACTCGTAAAGGATTCACGGTATAAGTATGAAACAAAAAATATACTGTATTGCATTGAAAAATTTAATATTTTATACCACATTTATATTTTTTGGCTGTTACCTTTATCACACTTAGAAACTTAGATATACCGAACGTGAAAGCAAATAAATATGCCCGTAGTTTAGTCATTAGAAGTAATTTTTATGGTGATGATCAGGGCTCGTAAGTTTTTGCATTTGCATATCAATCTTGCAAAGTTGTATTTAATGCCAAATGACATAGAAATCCATTTCAAAGGACCATGGTTAAATATGTGAATTCTTATTTTGCATGTTTTTGCATATTTGGCATATTTCTATTTTATCGGGCATATTAGAATCTATTAAAAATCTAAATGGAATATATATATAAAATTAAGAATAGAAATCGTATTATCTTTTCTTTTTTTATCTTCTTGATACTCGTACATTTAATGAATAAATTTGTTTCAGAAGTTTCAGATTTAAAATTAATTAAAAAGACGTACATTACACGCAGTTCATGAAGGTTCAAGAATAGTTTTAAATAGTATATAAAATCAATTTTTTTTTTTAATTATGACATAAAAAAATAAAAAATATAGCTATAAAAAAATGAATAGATCATTCATGTTATTTCAAAAATTATTTGTGATTTTTTCAAGTAAGCATTTTTTAAACGCATAGTTTTAGATATTTAGTGCATATAAATGCATATTTTTTAACTTTTTACGGCATATTTCAAACAATATTTTGCCAATTTTAAGTACATAAATTTATGCTTACTTAGGCATTTTTTAGGGCATGAACTTAGGAACCCAGGTGATGATGAGCTGGAATAACGAAATCGATTAAAATGTTATGAATAATGTTTCTTAAACAGGGACTGGCTTGTTAAAATTATTAAATATTATTAATAATTTTATTACCTATTGCTCTGTAAATAATTTTAAAAGTATTAGTTTTTGATTTTTCGATAGAAAATAATAAATTATGTTTTGCACTTGGATATATTATCGTTTTTCCAAATTTACATTTAGTGTAATGTCATAGTTAATATTGACAAAACATATCATCGGATTTTCGTAATTATAAATTATTATAGAATTCAAATAAGTATAAAGTATAAAATTATACAATGCATAAAGAGTACTGCTTGTTATAGAAACTTATCATTACTTTAAAGAAAAATGCCATAAAAAGAAACGTGTTTGTTATTGTTAAGTTATTATTTGTTTTTAATATCTACACTTTTGTATTTTAAAAATTATAGGTATATATGTCATAAGCTCGGAAATTTACCGTCGAAAATAATATGAAACGGTGATAGGAAGCAGAGATATGTTTCAATTAACAACACATCATTTAGCTGCGTAGATACATATTAGGGTGGCACTCAAAATATTTTTTTTATTTTTTAATGACCTCATGCTCTCAATTTGTTTTAAATGGTATATAAATGGTATCCTGAGAATATGAAGTAATTAATCGAACATTAAGTGGTCACTCAAGTAACTTATAACTATAAAATATGAGATAAATTAAAAAAACAAAATAAATTTAATTAATTTTACTAAATTATTTGAAATATACTAATTATATATTAAAGAAGTCATTACAATTTTTTCGATGAAAAATAATGTAAATATATATATTTTAATAAATCATATACTTAATAAAGTTGATTTTTTGGAATTAGGAAACTCTTGTCTGTGTTTTTTAATGACTTGAAGAAGGTACTGCTGTTATCCTTCTTTATTGGTAAGAGTTCCATTAAATTATGTCATTAATGCTATATATATATATATATATATATATATATATATAATGTCATATATATATGTCATAAATGCGTTATTTTTCAATTCAAGTTTTTTTTATTTTTTCAAATCCATCAAGGTATTCGTCGTTATTTTCTCAAGTTTTTGGATGAGTTTTTAAAAAGTGAATTTTAATAATAAATAGTCGTAAAAAAATTGTATGTATTATTTGTAACAAAGTCATATAATTCACTATTTAAAATAAGATTTTCTGGGAGTTTTTTCTATGTTCAAGGTTATCAGTCCCACTTTTATTTAAAGCTTTTACCATTTTGAGCTTAATATCATCTGAAACTCAGTAGTCAAAAAATTCTAAGTCAATTAATGTATCACTAAGATACCATAAATGTTCTGAAAATACTTTTAATGCTAATTTATAGATTCCATTACTTGAATTTTCGTAAATATTCAGATCTTTTAAGAAATTTAAATCATTTAGTGATGCACCTGAAGCATCTGTAGAAGTATACTATACTTTTAAATATACTATAATTATAAATAACGTAAAATGTTCTAAATTTGATACCTCTGTTTCTTTTAATTCAAATTGCGACTGAAATAAAAACATTTTCAAAAAATATATTATCTTGGCATTCCATCTAGCTCGATGACAAGCCCCAGG